AAAAAGACTCATAAAATTATTAAAATGTATCTATATACAGGTATATCTAAACACCTGAATATAGGGATACATATGTCTGTATATATGTCCTGTTCCTTTCCAGTCATTCTCGTCCCCAATTTTACTAGAAAGCAGGAGAGAATACTTCAAGTTTTGTTAATGGAAAACATAATTACCTATCCTAGTCTTGACCCACGACTGAGTAAACAGTGAAAGTTCTGGAATAATAAAACAGTTGTTTTAGTACTTTTCCTTTTGTGCTCCCGCTCAAGAACAGGGATCAGACAAATTTCCAATGGTAAGTGTAATAGGATCTAAACTCACGTGTTTATGGATGAGTTGATGCTAATGAGGAAATCTTTAAAAAGCTGATCATCAATAGTAGAAGGATTTACAGATGCAATAAACATAGGAAAAAGCCCTTCCTATATCCTCTCCCTCTTCAGTTTGTTATGAGGTTCATAAAGAGCCTAGCCCCATACCTAGTGGTTTCCTTCTTCCTCTTGTTAGGCTGATGAACCTTAAGAGATGCAGTTTGGAATTCTGCTAAAAATAAGCATGTGTTAAAGCTCAAAGGACCGACCAGGAGGACATACTTCATGGTATTGGACCTTGTTAATGGAAAGAACTTTTGTAAAAGAGCCATCAACAACAGCAACAGGATCACATTTAAGACTCCAAATGATCATTACAACCTTAAGCCAAGAAACAAAGATTTTATTTGGAATTATAACTTTTAAAACCAACCCTTGAAAATAATACAGGTTTAACACCTTTTGCTGGTGGTGGTGGTGGGGTGCCTCCAAAAGTTAATACAGAACTTCTTTTTGATTTGTCAGTAGGATCCCCACTCAACTCTATGGAGCTGGCCATTTTTTCCTGCATATGTATGAGGCCAATGTAACAAAAACAAACACACACACACACATACACACACACACACACACACCCCTCAGAGGCCCAAGAGGAAATGACTGTAGAATTTTAAATCAGAAACCCAGGGCTTCGGTTAGTAGTGTCAGGTTAAAGGCTCGCCCATCTCCAAAGCTAATTCGGTTCTGAAGAGTCCCAGGGGTGTCTAGCTGAACAGAAGGAGCTAGGAAACCTTAGCAGGCCAGAGCCCAGCCTGGGGAATTGCTGGGACTCAGTGCCAGGGGCTGAGGCTCACCCCAGAGTTGGTATCAGATAGTACCAAGTGCTAGTCTGGATTTCCACGACTAATCCACTGGAGAGTAGAACTTCCAGGTTCCCTGGTGTCTGTGCTGTCGAGTGGGAGGACTGTGGGTGTCACAGACCCAGACTGTGCCTGGCTAGTAGTATACTTAATAAAAGAGAAATAAATCCAAGACAGAACAAGTCTGTAAGTAGCAATAGTTTATGCTTTAGAAATCTTTAGTCATACAATTGTGGGGTGCAGAGGCCAGGAAGAGACCTAAGAGGAAGTGGAAAGCATTCCAAATTTACTATAGATTGTTTTCACAAGTTTCCTTTTTACATATTCTAATTTGCACTTCTTAAATGTGTTTACTGGGTTCTACAGATTCTTAAAACAACCTATCAATAGGGGCTTTAATCACTTTTGTATTTACTCAGAAGGGCTCTTTGGCTGTGAAGCAATTTGCCCCAGTTCATTCCCTTATCACACCTTTTCCCTACCCCCAACATTGCACACATTACTCCTTCCTTATAGGGTCAACTTTCTAAACCTGCTCCTATATAACTTCTTAAAACCCTGGGATGATTTCTCTCAAGCAACTTTAATCCCCAGACTTAACTACATTTTAACTTCGATAGAACATAGTTCTCCAGGGGAAGAAAAATCCTTCCCTTACACATAAACAAACAAGCATACAAACCAAGAGTTTATCATTACAACTAGGACTTAGGACTGCAATTATACCCTATAATAAATAGAAATTAACACTAATTTTTACCCAAGTCAATATTTATTACATCTAGATACCACTTGCAAGTCGCTCCAAGCCTCACTCAGCACTTAGCCAGCCTTGGGTTAGTGTGACTGAATTGCAAAATACACCATTTGCCCAGAAATTGCTCTTAGTCCAAATGCAAATTGCTTATAAAACATGTGTAAACCCCGCTTAGAACAGGCAGCACACATCCATAAAAATCCATTCAATGCAAAGGTAAGTGGAAAAGCTTCTCAAATTAAGGCTTCCCTTTTAAAACTGGAAGGACGTTTAAGGTGTTTCCAAAGGTAAATTGCTTCTTACTTTGGTAAAAGCAGCTTTACAGGAGTGAAAGAGGAAGGCGATTTTTAAGTGAGGAGATACCAGTATTCAATTAGAGAACAGGGTGGGAGAGTCCCCACTCTCAAAATATAACTTCATCACCAGGCACCAGCGCGCAGGAGAGGCCCACCAGGCACACGAGCTAAAATGGAGCCTGAATTTCCTCTCAGACGGAGCGGGTAGTCGCACGAGGTCAGGGTCAAGGTCACCGGCAGGGCAGGCTGCAGCTGCCCGACAGCGCTGCACACAACGGGAGGCACGGCCGTTCCATCTCCGTCACAGCCCAAACAGATAAATCCCTTCTCTTCTCCCACCCTCCCTCTAACCTAGCCAACTTTTCTTTTCTTTATTTCTTTTCTTTCTTTTTCTTAAAGCAGGGGGAGAAGAAAGGAAAATGACCAAATAACCTCACCGCCCTGGTTTTCGCACACAAGCTCATCAGCTCCCAAAGTTGCCATCTAAGGGCAAGTTCGCAGAGAACACTGAAGCCCATTTTGTCGGAGCAGGGCAAGCCTCCCCCGTGGCCCCCGCGGGGACTCCGGCCTCCGCCCGCTCCCCCACACGCCCCCGAGAAGAGCTGGGCGCAGTGGCCGGCCGGCCATGTGCACGCACTCTCCACCAACTGCTGTGAGTTTTCTGTGAATCGCTGCGCGGAGCCTCCCAACTCGCCCTCCCCGACTCCGCCGCCTTCTCCTCCTCGCACAAAATTTCCCTACACACGCAGCCGCCTGAGAGTGATTTTATGTGCATATATATTACATATGTGATATTATCCTCAGAACCTCTAGCGGGCAGGCGAAGAAAGGACTGCACAGGGGCATTTTTTTTTTTTTTTAAAGGAAGGGGAAAAAAAAGCACAACCCAAGCCCTGTGCGTCGACTCCCTGCGTACCGGGAAGGGGAAAGAAAGAGGAATGTTTGCGGAGCGGACTGCCTGCAAGTGCCCTTGCTCGCCACTTCGGCCGCGGCCCGGGTGACACGGAGCCGCGGGGGCGCCCGGCCCCGGCAGCCCGCGCCCCCCTCGCGGTCCCCCGGGCAGGCACCGCCGCGGATATTTCGCGAGGGGGAGATCGATCGCGCTGCCTGTCTGCAGCGGAAACGCACACGCTCACACACAACCCGAGCCCGAGACACCATAACCTTAACCCTTCCCCCACCCTCCGTGAACTTCAGGTGACCGACCACGTCGGCCTGACACCCGGGCGGGCGGGCGCTCCGGCTCCGCTCCCGCCCCCAGCCCGGGTTTTGCAGGATCGGGCTCCGAGCAGCGCCAAACCGCCGGGAGAGGGGAGCAGAGCGGGGGGGAGAGAGGAGAAATTGACCCTCCGTCTCCCCCGACCCCTCCCTCCGGCGCCTCCCGCGTCCCCTCCTCCCCGTCACCCCGCCCCACGCCTTCTCCCCTGCCCCCTCTTCCCTGCATTCAAGGAGCCGGGCGGCCCCGGGGGATATTTTTAGTTGCTTCTTTCTCCTTCACTTTTAGCTTTAGCAGCATCTCGGAACACTCAAAGCGGAGAAAGATTGGGGGGGCGGGGGGAACTGGAGAGGGAGTGGGGGAAAAGTTAAGAGTCTCGCAAAGAAAAGCCCAGGGAGGGCGGAGAGGGACCGGGGGCGCGGGTGGAGGAGGGGAAGGGGACCGGGCCGTGCCGGCGGGTGTGTGTCTCCAGTTGGTGTGTGTGGCTGCCGCCGGGGAGGGCTGTGATGCACTTTAGTCCTGGACTCTGCTCAGGCTCGCCGGGGAGGGGGGTCTGGGAGCCCGAGTCTCGCCCGGCTCCGTCTGCTCCCACTGACCCCGCATTTTATTGCGGCCAGGAGCCCTGCTCCTCCCTCCCCTCAGCTCTGCAGGGACCTCGCGCGCCGCGAGCCGCCCTGCCTCCTGCCTCCGCCTCGGCGCAGCTCCCGCACCCCACATCCGCCCGCCGCTGCCCGGCCTCGCCCCCCGCCCGGCCGCCCCGCGCCCCGGCGCGCCCCCTCGCCCCGGCGCCGCGGAGCAGCCGCCCGGCGGCGCGTGTATCCCCGTGTGTTTGTGTGCGGTGCCCCCACACCCTCCCCGGCCGCTCCCGCCTCGCCCGCCCCCGACTCCCCTCCTCCGCCGCCGCCTCCTCCACCTCCGCCTCCTCCTGCTCCAGCCGCCGCCGCTGCCGCCGGCGGCTCCGGGGCCGACCAACCCCGGCGCAACCTTTAGCCGGAGACGGACCTCTCCCTGGATCCCGAGCCCGGCGGGCGGCCGCGCGCCCTCGCCCCGGCACCCCCAAACGCCATGTCACGGCCCCCTGCCCGCCGCGCGCCCCGACCCCCGCACCCCAGGCACCGGGAGCCACAAGGAATTTTTTTTTTTTTTTTTTTTTTAAGATTCCAACCTCTCCCACCTCCCCCCCAGCCCCCGGTAAAAACCCCGGCATCCACACTACTCCCCTCCTCCCGCTTTCGCCCCCTCCCCCCAGCAACCCGGAGTGAGGAGGGGGAGGGGGAGGCAAAGGGGGAAAAAAGCCCGATCTCAAGGAAAAAAAGAGGGGGGGCGAGAGAAAGAAAGAAAAAGAGAGAGAGAATAGAAAGGGCACGGGGCTGATCATCACCAACATGGCTGCCTCAGCATAGACCTAAACGAGGAGTAACCCGGGCTGTGTCTTTGTCAGTTTCACCTCTGTAACCCTAAACTAATGCAGAAAACAACGGAGGAGGCTGCGGAGGGGAAAGAGGAGAGGGAGAGCGAGAAAATGGCACGAGAGGAGGTGGAGAAGGGATGACTTACGTGAGGGAAGGCGCTTGGGCTGCTCCTGCTTCCTCCTGGGCATTTTCCCCCTTTTCTCACATTCTCCTCCTTGGTTAATGTGAGATCAAATAAACCCCCGTGGGGGCAGAGAGGCAGACACTGGCAGGAGCGGGGAGGTAGTTGGGGGGCGGGCGGGCGGGCAGGGGGAAACCCCTTCTCTCCGGTGTGTGCAATGGGTTGAAGCTTGTTTCCTGGAGCCAGAAGAGGGGTTTCTTCTTTTCTTTCTTTTCTTTTTTTTTTTTTTTTCCCTTTTTTTTTTTTTTTTTTTTTTTTTTTGGTCGTGCACCTGGCTTGTCCCCGAGCGTAATATTCTTCAATGGAAACGGATCTAATAGGTGTGAGTGTGTGTGTGTCCTGTGCTCGCGTGTGTGATGGGAGGTATAAATAAATGAGTGCCGGTGCGGCGGTGTCTATGGCCGCGCTCTGTGTCTCCGAGCCCCTAACACTAATGTCGGGATCAAAGGGCAGCGGCGGCGGCAGCACAGCTCACAGCTCGCTCGCTCTCTCTCTCTCTCTCTCTTTTTCTCGCTCTCTCTCTCTCCTCTCGCGCTCTCTCTCCCTCTCTCTCTCTGTCACACACACACTCACACACACACAGAGGCACAGACTGAGGGAAAGAGCGAGAGCTAGACACACACACACACACACACACACACACACACACACGCAGAGCAAAGAGGAAAGGTGCCCTAAGGCTCCCAGGGCGGACTCAGCCTCGGATTTACAACCGCTCTGTCTGCAAAGAATGGGGGGCGCGCGTGCGGGGGTGGGATGGAGTTCTTCGAATTTATCCCGCTAGTCGCCAAATCTAGGGGGAAAAAAAGTTTTTCCCACTCTTTCAACAACGATCCGTTCATTATTTTACTGATTTTTTTTTAAAGGAGATAGATTGCTCTCTTAACTTTCTTTTGTTTATTAAACTACATTTTGTTCTGTATAAAATTCTTCGGGCTTTTGTCACTAGAAGAATTACTTCCTCACTCCATCACTGTAAGTCTGGAGGTTGCAGACTCCCACACACTCTCCAAAAACATCCCAATAAAAATATTCCTAAAAAAAAAAATTAAAAGATACCATATGGTAAGATCAATAACCAGTTTGATGGAATGAATGCCCAGCTGTTGGTGCATCTGATAGAGGTAACACTTGGGGAAAAAAAGCTGCCTAAATGAAAGTTACAGGTCCTTGACAAAGGGGGGAAAATAAGATTAGGTCACCCCTGATGGCTGATTTAACTGCTACACGATACTCCTACAGTGCACACAGCGATCTTGACTTCTGAAATTTACTTTTTTCCTCTCCTATAATGCAGGTATATGAAATTTACTCTGAAGCAATTCCAGTGTGCATTATGTGCCTAATATAGCAGTTTTCATTAACTGATATACTTTCATTACTTTACAAATCATCACACATCTCTCTTCAAAGAGACACATAAAGGGGAAAACCAGAAAAGGACCGGGCTCACTCAGCACAAAAGGTACTTGGTGAAAGAGGACTGTTCTCTTTGTGACTTGCAGTCATTTAGATAGAAGTTCACTCAGGTTGTTAATGATTTAAACTCCAAAAACCTGCTACTATAATTGAAGTAAAAAATGGTCTGAAGAAGAGTTGTTTCATAAAACTCTTTGTAACAGGAAACTTTGAACTTAGCGGAATACATTATATGTCATGAGTCAGATGTAGTTAAAAAATAAGAAGGTGCATTATTTAACTACATCTTCCCTTTTGAGCTTTTTAAAAACTCTGACTCATCATCTTATTATGTTAAATATTTTCCTACCAATTTTTAAATAGACTTTTTCATCAAAGAAGGTGGAGGCATAGTGAAGATATAGAACATTAAAATGACACTCTATAAGTTGACAGGAATAACTGATGCCTCTTTGAGGTTCTGATTTACTTAGAAATCTTCAATGGTGTTAAAGAGAGCCATGGGGGTTAAATTCCTATGAACCCTCTTTAAAAATAACAATAAGGCCCTATATTATGTAATTTTAGTAGAGTAGCTCAAAGAGTACCGCATCTCCCCAAAGATGTCTTTCTTTGAGGATGAAATCTCAGGGTGAACCCCTCCCTACCAATTGCTCCCAAAAGATCTAGCTTCCCAATATCAAGTAATGCTATCTGAAGACGATTTAAATACTCACTTTGAATTCAACCTAAAACCAAACAAGGAGCAGTCAAGTTTAAATGGAGTATCATCCTGAAACTTATTTTTCCAATGTTTTTTTTTTTTTTTTTGCATTATAATTTGAAATAGAACTATCTTTCAACTCAGATCAAATTCAACTGGCCATGACTTGGACTGTTGTCAGTAGCATTAGGCTTGAAATTAATGTCTGAATGATAAACCAGAGCTCATCCATCCCAAGTGCACCCATCACCCTGAGTCTGTAGGATCTTCACACCTAACACGGGTAAACCAATGGTCACAAGGCTTCACCACTGCTCCCTGGGAACCTTTGGCTAGGATATTGAAGATTATTACTCTGCATAGATACATCACCACCTTTTCCTGAATTGCTATGGCTCTTCACAATGTTTAGTACACTATAATTGAAAACACACTTTAGGCCTTTTCTCAAAGCAGAGTACATTTCCTGTGACCTTTTAAAGGCATGCAGGCATATGCTGTCAACTTTTAATTATATAGGTATTTTATCAACAGCCAAAAGCATTTTTAAATTGAATTTATTCTTACCTCCACCTCTTTCCAAAAATTATTTAAAGTGGTACATAACAATAGAAAATGGAAATAAGGATAGGACATTTTTCTGCTTAAATCCCAGGTTGGTATCTCTGTGCTAAAAAACACTCTTCAAGGTCATTTACATCTCACCCTCAATTGCTGTATGCTTAGGGAACATAAACTAATTTTAATGTTAGATTAACCTAAAATATTAGGAAGATAAATAATGAGGGTTATGACAATGGATTCAAAAATCAAGATTGAATAAATAATTTGTGGTGCACCTATCCATGAACCATTAGCTTGGATAGTTGTTGGCCATAGTCATCAGACTGGAATATTCTATGATTTGCCTCCATGGACCAGGTTTTAAGACCATATTTTACCTTAATAATCACAGTATTTTCTCCACCACAACCCCCATCTCCATCACCTCTCAAACGTGATATTAAAATAGATTTTCTCAAAGTTGTGCACTCAAAGAACATGTTTCAGAAGCACTAACTCTCACAGGTGTTAACTCCCTTTAAGTCCAAGTATTGCTAAGGGTGGGTAGACAGAGGGAGTACTTTCCCTGGAATAGTGTGTGGTCTGTAGAGGATCTGCAAGGTCAAGACTATTTTCATAATAATACAAGGATGTTATTTGGCCTTTTATCCATGTTGGTATTTGCACCAACGATGCCAAACTATGGTGGGTGAAATGCTGGCACCTTAGGGCCAGTTAAACCAAGGGCACCACAGACTTTTAATAATCATCCTATTCTTTACCAGGCACTCAAAGAAAGAAAAAAAGGAAGGCTCATTTAAGAATGTCCTTGGCAGAGCAGTAAAAAATTAATAATTTTATCAAATTTCAACTCTTGACTACAAGTCTTTTAAATATTCTTTGTGACAAAGTGTTTGATACATATATAGCATTTCTGCCACACGCTGAAGTATATCAATTGTCTGAAGGAAAATCACATGAATATTGTTTAAAATAGTCATATTTTTCATGGGACATTTTTGTGGTTTTTTTTTTTTTTTGTACTTGAAAGAATGAATGACAGAGAAACTCAGATTTGGATATTTCTCAAGAAAAGAAATGAAATGAGCCCATAATTTCAAGGAAAACAATGCATAGTATTTTTTGGCAATGACAATATTCACATCTGCCTAAAAGTTAAGATCCTCTTTACCCTAAAAGTGTACAATATTTGCATGTATTCATTACCATGAGTTCAACAGTTTTCTAACACTTAGAATATATATAAATATATATATATATTATATAACTAATATATATATAATATATATATATATTTAGATACAATATCAACATTTTGGAAGATTGGCATAACTCAGTGAACCAACATTTTCCAAATGGCTAATGTGCGATGTTACTGAATGGTGCTGTAATAGATTCTCTCAAAGTACAAAAGAGATCAATGGTTTTTAATGCCAAAGAGTAGGGAGAGTCTATTGATATGGCTTCAGATTCCACCCTGTAAGTAACTTTTACGAACTACCAGGCATCAAGTTTTAGTGTAATATCAAAGAAGGATATCCACAATTACCTGGAAAGGCTGTGAAGCTATTCCTCCCTCTTCTAACTTCCCATCTGTGTGAGGCTGGGTTTTCTTCATGCACATCTTTTTCTTTCTTTCTTTACAGTGCTGGTGATCGAACCCATGACCTCATGAATGCTGGGCAAGTACTCTGCCACTGAGCTACACCTCAGCCCTTCTTCATATACATCTTTAACCAAAGCAACATGCTACAACAGATGGAATAAAGAAGCAGATATGAGGATCCAGCTGGGTTTTATTAAACCAGACATTACAAAGATTTGCTGAAATGTAACAATGCCCTTCTTCTCACAAAATGATTTATTTTGAAAAATAGAGTGATTTTTCATAAAAATATGTACCATATTTATTGTATCATTATCTATAAATGAATTAATAAATATTTTAAAATTATACAGTTTTCATGAGGAATACAGTAAATATCAATAGATTTAAGTCACTCAAACAAAAGCTCAATATCTTTTAAGAGTGTAAAGGAATCCTGATTCCAAAAAGTTTGAGAACCAGTGCCTTGGAAATTAAGATGCATCTAAAGAGAAAAATGAAATTGAACGGACACTTTCCTAGAAGTCTTGGAATCCAGCTGCAAACACACTCACCCACTTAACTCTTGGAGCTGAGTCTTGGTCTATGAACCCCAGGGGTATCCACCCTGGTATCCCCATTAGGAGATGCAGAGAGGAGTCCAGGTGTCCACCCAGCCTTGTGGAAACAGGTTTCCCAGCCACTTGGAGAGGACCATTGCTCTGAGCAGAGGGCTCTCCCTTCTTTCTGCCTGAGAATTTTTGAGAAAAGTCAAAACAGTGAGGGGCTTCTCTCTTTCTCAGGGCCTGAACCTTCTGCCCAAGAGTTAAGATGGCTCTTTACCCTAAAAGTGCTGCAAGTCTGACAGTTTAAATAATGAAGGCCTGTCCCAAAGCAGAGATATGGGTCTGGCGTCTCTCTTGGCCTGGGCCTCAACATGTTATAAATCAGTAAGTATCTGGTGACGATGACCAGCCTTCCTTTACAGAGAGGGAGGCTTTTGCTGTAATCTGTACTTATGTTCTCAGGCAGCGGGGGTCTGGCTGAGACCAGCAAGTTTTGTCACGATTTGGATAAACCATGCTTTCGAAAGTAGTGGATGTCGCGCTCATGGTCCAACAGAAAAGACAGTGGAGGAAAGACTTCTGAGCACTTTGGATGTGTTTCATCGAAACCCTTGGGCTTGGACTTTCCATAAACATCTTCC